AGGCTGAAGCCATTGAAGAGCTGCATGTGGGCAAAGATGCCAGAAGGAGCAGAGAAAGCTGGACCCAGCCTGCACGTGTGCCCAGCCACATGATGGGCAAGACAGAACGTGCCGGAGAAAACGCCGGGCCTCCTTCAGCGCTGCTGACGTCAGAGGCCTGGCTGTACTCCTTTTTCAGAACACCCAGGACACAGCAAGGGATGGTGAACCTTGGACATAGGACCCACAGACTGCAGGACCAGACGCCCTGTAAGGGCAGCACTGGACATATGACCACAGATTACGGGACCAGACGCCCTGAGAGGGCAGCACTGGACATATGATCTCAGGCTTCAGGATGCAGAGACCAGATATCCTGGGAAGGCGGCTCTTGCCTGGCCACTCCAGGTCCTCGTGTGGCTGTGATCAGGAATAAGGTCCCCCCCCATCCCTGGCTGTTTCTCTTTCTCTGGTTGATGGGGTCCCTGACTGCAGCGAGGTGGCCTTCCTGTCTAGGAGCATGGAGACGTAAGCCCTGCCCAGTGCTGCAGGCGTGCCCGGCCCCCGCTCTCCTTCCCATTCTTGGGACTCCTGTCAACCTGCTCCCACTCCCCTCTGAATGAGTTTGTTTCAGGACACAACTTTCCGGTGTCCCCTTTGCCAACTGCCACCCAGGCTACCAGCAGGGATTTGAGCTCTGGACTGGAGCTGTCACTCCTTGTCTTTGGTGACAAACAGGGCGAGCTCCCCTGAGTCTCAGCCCCCCTAGGACACCTGTGCCCCATGTTTTGGCTGTGCCTCTCACTTAGCATCTCCAGAATGTTCAATCAAAGAACAAGAAAGACTATCTCAGGAACCACCGCTCTCTGGCTTTTCCCGCAGATGTGCATGTTCACAGGGAGCAGGGAGCAGGGCCAGGCTGGCCTGCCACCTACTCACATTGGCCCACCACCTAGTTACAGACAGTAGGTGCTCAAGCAAGGCTTGAAGAGTTTAGCACCAGTCAGGGGCAGGGCTAGGGTCCCGGTCAGGGCTGAACCTTTCCCCTTATGAAAAACACACCAGCATCCCCAAGGACTGTTCCCTAGGGTATATGGGTTCAAGGCACAAACTCCAGGATCTTTGGAGCAGTGGGTCACCTGTGGGAGCAGGTGAGTACACACACAGGTCATGGCAGCAAACACTCCACACACCACAGTGACCATTCAATACTGCGACCTCAGCCTCTGATGAGAACCAGCATTTGGATGTGTGTGCAGGTGTGTGCATGAGTGTGTGTTTACATGCATGCACATGCATGTGCACAGGAATATATGCATGCACGTGCATGTGCACTGGTGTATGTGTGTATATATGTGTGCATGTGCATGTGTGTGTGCATGTGCACCTGCACAGGTATATGCGTGTGGGTGTGCATGGGTGAATGTTTGTATATGTGCACAGGTGTGTGTCTATATGTGATGTGCATGTGTGTGTACATGTGCACCTGCACAGGTATATGTGTGTGCGTGTGCACAGGTGTATGTTTGTATATGTGCACAGGTGTGTGGATATGTGTGCATGTGCATGTGTGTGTACATGTGCACCTGCACAGGTATATGTGTGTGTGTGTGCACGGGTGTATGTTTGTATATGTGCACAGGTGTGTGTCTATGTGTGCATGTGCATGTGTGTGTGCATGTGCACCTGCACAGGTATATGTGTGTGCATGTGCACGGGTGTATGTTTGTATATGTGCACAGGTGTGTGTCTATGTGTGCATGTGCATGTGTGTAGGTGTGTGCACATTTGTGCGTGCTGTGTGCATGGGTGTACGTGTGTTATGTACGTGTGTGCATGGCTGTATATGTGTATATGCATGTGTGTGCGTGCGTGTGCACAGGTGTGCGTGGAAGGTCATTTTTAGGCTGATGTGGCACATCCAGACCACATTACCATTCTTCAGAAGCTCGGCTAATTTTTAAAGACAATTCTCTTTGCAAAGTTTTCTGAGTTAATTGTAATTTTGAAAAAGATGGTTCTCCCCCAGCTAGTTGCTTATAGGTGTTTTTGCCAGTGCGGCCCATGGACGGGTGCCCTTGCTCTGAGGCCCAGTAGGGGCATTCAGAGGTGACCCTGGAGGGCATGTGCAGTGAGACTGGCAGACGGGCCACTGGGTGACAAGGCACAGACCAGGAGGGACAGCGCAGGCACCACCCGGCTCTCCTGTGCACATTTCCACAGTCCTGAGGGAGCAGGACTTGGAGGAGAGGAGGCCGCAGCCCAGTGCGGAGACTCTGCCCCTCCTCAGTCTTGGGTGGCACCGCCCCGTCCCACACTGCCTGGCACTTAGAGAGCCCCTTCCACCCCGGCCACAGTCTCTGCATCCACAAAGCAGAAATTTAACCAACTTCTGCCCTTCACATACCACCGTGATGGGTTGTGCCAGAGCTACGGATAATCACTTAGCATTGTTCTTTAAACACGTTGCTTTGGTTACTTAAATTTACAAAGAGACTGATGGAAGTGGAATCTATGTCACATGTAGAAGGTATCTGTAGAAATAACAGCAACCAAAGTAGGAAACAATGCGGTTAACTAACTCCGGTTCTGAACTCTGGATCTTTCTCCCTCTGTTGAAAGGGAGATTACCAAGCTTTACAGAGATGCTGAAAACACACCACTAGCACTAAGCCAAGACTCTTCCAGGACACAATCAACAGACACAGAAGAGCTTCTCATGAGGTGAGTGGATGTGACTCAAATGCTGTGTCCCTGGACACCAACAGTCACCTCACACACCATCAGATCCCCTTCTGAACCACACAGGGCACTGCTCAAACATTTACCAAGACCTCAGGGGGTCCCCAATGGCAGGCAGCAAACCCCAGAGGGCAGTCTGGTGTGGCATCCTTCATACCAGTTCAGGGACTGGGGCTGCTGAGGCTGCAGGACGGACCCCCAGAGGACCCACAGATGCCGACTGTGGCCCATGGATGTTACCTGGGCAGGAACAGCACACGACACATGAGCAAGGTCCCCAATCCTGGCCGCAGCACGGGGATCGCTGGAGCTGATCAAAACCGGGGCGCTGATTTCCATGGAATGCCTGTGGCTGGCAGCCTGCGAGGACCTGTGTGTCACACCAAGCGCAGTGAAGGAGTGGCGTTTCTTGGTATTCTTCTTGCCATCCACACGCCGCTGAAAGGCACTGACCGCCCCCGAGCTGCTTACAGCAGGAGCTGGGGCCACACTGGCCACCACGCTGGGGACAGAAGGCAAGGTGTCGCAACCAGACGCAGCAGCTGGGCAGGGCTTGTCCATCTCCATGAGCAGCTTGGCAGAGTCATTGAGCTGGGTGAAAAGAGGGAGAAGGAGGAGGCTTCATTAAATAACTGTCCCATGCTATGTCCAGCTCTCTGAGTTCTCCCAGCCACATTCCCATCTACAAACTGGCGATGTATTCAAACTGGCCAGCTCTTTCTAACAGCAGCTTCCAGCATGCACAGTGCAGTAAAAACAGAACAAAGGTGGGGTGGTGTCTGTAGATCTTATGGAAAAGCTTTCTGGAGCAGCTCAAAGGCCCAGGGAGCCATGGGAGAGAGCAGGGGAGGACTTAAAACAGGGGAGGCCTTCTGAGGGCCCGCTACCCTGTCGGCCACAATCTTGTTCAATGGGCATTTCCAGGGTGTGAGGTGCAGACCTACACAGAGCCAGGGCCCAGAAGCCAAGGGGGAGGACGCCCAGCGTCAGCCACGTGGGTCCTGCCATGCACAGTGCTGGTCACTCAGAAAATTTGGGGCATGTGACCAGAATGCACGTTCCTACAGCCGGTGATCCCGGGGACAGGGGCTCTGGTGAGAGTGAGCCCTGGAAGCTCTTTTTAGTCATGGCCTCTACTCAGCCTGTCACACCCCGGAAGCTGACCTGAACCCAGGCCCAAGAGGAGTCAATAATCTATCTTCTCGAACTCAGGACACGACTCCTTCCCAGGTCTCCTGCCTGTTCTGCAGAATAGCAGGTGTTCTTAGAGTTTGCCTTTGAGAAATATCTGATGCTGGGTGGTGCTTATCAGGGAAGGTGGGATGAAGGTTTGAGTCCATGAGCGACCTGTGATAGTTGGGAATGAACACCCCAGGCCAGCCATGCCGAACCTCTCTTCTCAGGCTGTGCCTCGCCCGGTGGCACCCGGAGGCTGGAGGTGGTCTGTGAGCCCGCAGCCTTGGTGGGCACAGCTGTGGAAGAAGAGCTCCCTGTGCTGGTGCATGGGGGTTCGGCCACCGCTAAGCCATAGTGTCCCCGACTCCTACTCCTGAAGGAAGTTTCATGCTCAACATGTCTGATGGAGCCCCTTTCTTCTTAGGCTGTACTTGGCTCAACCCTAGTTCATACCTAAAGGGGGAGAATCTGCAGTTGATTTGAAAGAATAAAGCAGAGGGAGCTACTTATTGTGTGTACACAGGTGGCCAGGAACAAAATGTGGTGTTAGAATTGGCTTGGGATTATCTCCACAAGATGGCCATGAATGCCCACACGCTAGGTAAACACCCGCAAGATTCCACTCTTTCTCCCTCACTTTTCAGACATAGCACAAGAAACCAAGCGAGTGCCAGCTGGCCTTCTGGATGGCCCTACATGGAGAAGCAGAGAGGTCAACGGGGGGGCTCAAGCCCTCTCTTTGTGCTTCTCCTCACCACGCAGAGCTTGCGCTATGGGCTCCAGCAGGGTGGAAACCCTTTGTCTGCCAAGGGGGACTGTCTTGGGTTTGGGGCCACACAGTCTCTGTGGCAGCACGACTGGACTCTGCTGCTGCAGGGGCCCTGCAGCACCACATGAGTGGCCTGGGGTGTTCTAGCCAGACCACTTTCCAGAAACAGCAGGAGGGCCACTGCAGGGCTGGTGGAAGCCTTGGTGGGGAACACGGGGCTCAGCAGAGTCTGGAGGATGTGCAAGATCAGGAAGGAAGAGGGCAGAGGCAGCAAGTCAGGGAACCGGAGAAGGAGGTCAGAGCGGGCGTGCGAGGGGAGCCGGAGCCAGCTGTGGACCTGCAGGTCACCTGGGCCAGGGCTCTCGATGGTTCCACTTGTGATTCTCAACATTATGGTGGGAAAGCAATGCACATTCAGTAGAAACCAAGTAGCCACACAACCATTCTGTTTTCTTACTTTCAGTACAGTATTTAATAAATTATTTAGTAGAAACTATATTTTGAGTATCCATACAGCCATTCTATTTTTCACTTTTAGTAGAGTATTTTATAAGTCATGAAATACTCAACATTCTGTTATAAAATAGGCTTTGTGTTAGATGATGCTGCCCAATTGCAGGCTAACGTAAGTGTTCTGAGCACGTCTAAGGCAGGCTGAGCTAAGCTATGTTTAGCAGGCTAGGTGTATTAAATGCATTTTTGACATGCTACTTTCAGCTTACGATGGGTTTCTGGGGATATAACCCCATGGTAAGCGTGGCATGTCCTGTACATGCAGTACATTCCTCTCTGCTAAGCCCTTGAACAGAGCCGGAGGCCCCAGGAAGGGCCCGTCCCCCCCAAACCCACCAGGAGTGGAGTCTGAGGTCAGGCCTGGTCCTGGGAGTTCCCCTCAATCTTGTGAAGAGGTGAGGGGAGCGCGGGTCTCTACACGCGTGCACTTGCGCTGCTGTGTCTGCAGCTGGGAGCATCTCGATGAGAGCAGACAGCAGGAGCTGCCGAGCGCCAGCGGCCCGAGATGGGCGTGACCGTAGGCCGCAGGCCACGTGGCCCCTCCCGCCCCCACAGCCGTGGCAGGTGTGCCAGCTGCCTTTAGACCCGCCGGGCACACGACCATCAACATTTCCATTACAAATACTTGCTTTCAGAGGGAGGTTGTGAAAACCTACTCCAGGCTCCAGAACATGTGCTCTAAATCCAGGATTATTTCCTTGCAAATGCCTTCTCCAGCCAGGCTCAGCAGTTTTGCTCTGTTTCATGGCTTTATTCATTTGTCTCCTCAGAAATGCTACTCAAAGAGCATGCCAGCACCTCTCCCCTCCACAGCCCTTCGTGGGAACCCAAGTCCCTGGGAATCAGCCTCCTGGGTCCCAGCATTCCAGCCCACCCAGAGGAAGACAGCGAAGCGGAAAGCAACACACGGAGCGCACCGGACACACGCGTCTCCACCGGGACCACCACCGTGCAGAGGTGAGGCAGCGCGATGCCGGCGCTGGGCTGTAACAGCTCCCTTCTTTCCCGAAGGAGCAGACCTGGAGCACGTGGCTCCCTATGACCCTCCTGAAGTGGTACTGAAAATTCCGCTTTCAAAATCAGGAAAGCCGGGTCAGTGTCCACACGTCCATAACACCTGGGGCATCATCTGAATGGCGGCTGGGTTTCCGTCATGGCTCTCCATCATCTCCCGTGGGCACGGCTGGCCCGGCAGTGCCACACGTCCCGAGTGCCGAGCGGCTCTCCAGCACTACCCCACGAGGTGGCGAAGTGCTGATGGAGGACCCTGCGATGACGAGGAGTGGCCAGCTGTGTCCTCCCCGCTCCTCCTTGCTTCTGCAACAGGCTGCTCTTTGGAGACAGGAGCATCTCATCAGGCTTTCCTCCTCCTCCCTGTGATGGCTGTGTCCTCACAGTCCAGGACAGGCTAATTCACAGGTTCTCAACACACATACACACACCTCCATGCACGGGCTGACACCACCTCCCACCACTGCAGACCGTGGCCTGCTGGACTGTGACAGGCACAGTGACCACGGGTACCCCGTGGGCCCGGCCATTTCACAGATGAAGACACCAAGGCTCAGAGAGCTTAAGTGGCGTCCTCCAAAACACACTGTGAACATGTGGCCCAGTGGCTGTGGCTCACACCCTTTCTCCACATGGCTCTGCCACCCCTCCCGTCCACTGCAGAGCACGGAGGCCTTTCTGATCTTGCTAAGTCTTTAGGCTAAAAAGTTTATATATTCATTGAGGTATGGCTATGTCCTTGGCAACCGCGGGAGCGCCGCCACGCTTCCCAAGCGGCGCACTATCCATTGCGCCACCGGGCCGGCCCAAAGTCTTTAGGCTAAAAAGGTTATACATTCATTGAGGTATGGCTATGTCCTTGGCAACCCGAAGAGGCTGGGTTCATTTTAGAGATTCAAATGTGGGTTTTTAAAGATCGGATTTTTTTTTTTTTTTTTTTTTGAGCCTGACATGCGAATTAGCTCAGGCAAACTCTCACACCAGCTGCAGATCCTGGGGTGGAACGCCAGTTCTGTTCCATTCCCTTCATTTCAAAGAAACAGTGGACCCACAGGCCTTGTAATAATGCCAAATTTTTATTTAACATGGACACTGAACTCTAGACATTTGTAATGCCAGGTGCCAACACTCTGGACTGACAATCTCCTGTTCATTCGACAAACATACTGTGCACCTGCTCTGGAGAGGCTTCTACGCCAGACGAGGGTCCCATTCTGGGAATTACAATTATACAAAGGGGAAGCAGTGCCAGAGACACTGAGGGGTGCGATGGAGACCCCTGTGAGGGCGGCCGACCCACTGGAGCGTGACCAGAGCCCTGGGATCCCAGCTGCTGGGCAGCCCACATGTGACCCACAACCACATGCACACAGCAGCCGCACCTTCTCCATCCTGTCCTCTCTATGTGCACGTTCCAGCCTTGCGCCCCATCCCAAGGTAGCTGAAGTGCAAAGGTCAGGCTGTGGTCAGGCTACCAAAGTGGGTCTGTGAGCAGAGATGAGGATTCATATTGCTGAGGATTAAAATGAGAAATATCTGGCAGTGAAGACACACACAGGTGTGGACCTGTGCTGCACAGACAGCTTTCTAATTTTGCTTGTAAAGACTGAGCACAGGCAAGGACTTGCGACAGATGATGCCTAAAATTTCAAGGAGGGAGAAGGAGGGAATGGCTTTCATCTCAGCCTCCTACTGCCATAGAGACAAAGCCCACGAGAGGCAGTAGTGCTGTCCCGCCGGCCCCTGGACAAGCATGAGGCACAGGGCTGGGCTTTGCTTGCTCGGGTGCTGGCTGCTCCCAGGGCAGCTGGCTGAGCTGTGCCTCACCACGGGTCACTGCAGACCTGCCTGCCCACGACACCTGGCCCTGATGCTACCCTGAAGGCACCTTCCTGAGAATCAGGCAGCACCCTCTGCCAAGGCCCCAAACCAGCCCTCACAGCCTTCTGCTGCCCTGCAGCAGAGGGTCAGCAGCCCCTGACTCATCCAGCGGGCCTTCCTGGCTCTCCCCACAATAATCAGGAGCGCCCAGTCCTGCTCCTCTCTCGGGCTTCTGTTCAAAGTTGAGCCAACCCTTCCTCCCTGGACATGTACCCTAAATCCCACGGGGGAACGGGGCTCC